TACCATTATCGTTGTGTAAGTGTACATCACTAGAACCAGATTATAAAGTTTCTTCAATATTGTCGTTGTGTAAGTGTACATCACTAGAACCAGATTATAAAGTTTCTTCAATATTGTCGTTGTGTAAGTGTACATCACTAGAACCAGATTATAAAGTTTCTTCAATATTGTCGTTGTGTAAGTGTACATTACTAGAACCAGATTATAAAGTTTCTTCACCATTATCGTTGTGTAAGTGTACATCACTAGAAACAGATTATCAAGTGCTTCTTCACGAATAAGAAATGTAGCGGAATATAGTATTAACGTTTAAGATTTGATCAAAGGTCTTATTTTTATCTGTTATCTTCAGCGAGGAGACTTACGCATTATGTAGATGTATAAGTTAAATTGTTGGGTTTTATTTCTCTTGAAAAGACAAGGAAAAGTTATTTTGGTAAAGAAAATGTTCACATTTTTTTGAACAAGTTTTTTTTATCGCAATTTTAAAACTTTTTTTTGAATCTGTAGTTTTAAATCCTTTATAAAAACAATACTCGCGATGAGAAGCAATGAATTATTATTGAATTTACATCACTTGCCTATTAAGATATTAAATGTAAACATTTAACATATAATATTAGGTAAGCGAAATAATTTCAGCGCTGATTTCACAACGCAGGTATTTTCACGGTGTAACGAAAACGTTTTCGTTTTGTCCAAGTGACTTTTTTCATGTCAGAACTATGAAACTGGGAAGTTCGGTCTCAGTCGTTGTCTTATTGTATTTGTAATTTCAAGATTAATTTTTTTTTAGATCAGATTAATCAACATCAAGTTTTCCAGATTATTTGTATATCATGTCTATGTTGAGGGGTTTATTGCTCAAGATAACGGTGATCTTTACATTACGTTATTGAGACGTCGATTTTCCCGGTGTAAATGTCGTAATTACGATGCTTTTAAAACAGATAGATAGAAAGTTTTAATTACTGTATTGTTCGGCGTCATACGATTCCAAAATATGCGGAGACTTGATAGGAATTTTTAACTGAAAATTAAAAATTAGAACTACATGTGTAGTTATTAAACCCGTATCCATATTGTCACTAGAACTAAGATAAACTGAAATGTATAGAAATAAGCTTTTCATATACGTACACGCAGAGGAGAGAATAAAATTTTGATCATGTCTGTTAAAAACGTTTCGCTAATCGTTTCGTTCTGGAGCAACAAAGTAATCCGTAAAAGAAACAACTTTCAAGTTGATAAATCACTTCATGTGGCTTAGCGGCAAGTCTGAGGACTTACGACGTTCACTATCAGGTTTCGATACTCGCAATAGACACCACGCAGATACACCAATGTGTAACTCTGACAATAACAACAAATAAGCATGTTGATACATCATCTTGTAGTGTTGGACTTCTACTCTTAATATGTGTGGAAAATGTAATAACGTATATCGCATAATGATAATAAATAATTATTATTCTGCTTAACTAAAGGCTAAACGTAGGATTTTTATCAAGAAGACACTACGGGAATTTCTCTGTATCAATCTTGAATTTTGAAAAATAAATTATGTATCAATTGATGGTATCTATTTCTGAAAAGAGGACATGTCTGTTGTGAACTCAATGTTTTGAATTGCAGATAAAGAAAAAGCTAGCGAATTATAACATACAAGGACATTTAAGGCCCCAAAGCCTTATTTTTTTTCGTTGTTTTTCCGAATCAGCGATGACATCTTGTGTTAAGATTATTACAAGACTTTGCTGTCCATTGAGTTTTAAAGCAGAATAATATGGTATGTCACGTGATAACAAATGGCGTGTCACACGATTATACTTGTTTCGGATTTTTACTTCGGTAGAAGTCGTTATTAAAAAAAGAACATGACAAAACCCTAAAAATTAAGCAGCTTATCAGGACAGTGTTTTACTTTATGTTACTGTAGAAGCAAGGACGTTAGATATGAAAAGTTACAAATCTCGAAAAAAAATATTTTATACTGCACACAGCGATTAATACACACCTAGGGTGCCATTTTAGGGTCATCATTTGTCACGTTATAACCAAGTCCAGAAATCCACATTCCTTTCTGTTTGCTACGTTTGTTTATGCGGAATGCTCCCCCATTACAAAAAAAAAAGGGTGGAGGGAATTTTATTCGTGTTAAAACATCTGTCCTGGATATCTTCAGATTTACCAGCATTATTTCCGCGCTCCTATTGGTGTTAAGAATCAGTGAGTAAAAATATTATGCTAAAAACAAAACACTTATTGAAAATAGTGGTATACAACAAAAGTTTTACAATCGAGCCTATGCTAATCTCAGGATCACATTATTTTTTTATGTCCCCACTGCTTCGCGACGCAGAGCGGGATATGTTCGTTTGCCTCCGTACGTCCCGGTCCCGATCTTGTGGGCAGGATATTTCAACATTGGATGGATGTATTTCGATCAAACTACCTACAAAGTTTTAGATCTGAATAATTTATGAAAGTCATGAGTCGAAGGTCAATCAAACTGGAGGGTTTGAACATAGAATATAACATTACTGAGGGAGTGGACATAGGTTTTTCATAAAACATAATTTGTACTTGTTATTCATGTTTGTTTGTTTTTAACTTAATTTTTTCCCACAGATATAGTTATGTTGGTTTCAGAACAAAGCGCAGCCATCAGGAGTTGTTGTTGTTGTTATATTAATTACACCAGAACTACAAAAGGTTTAATGGCAAGCAACAACTTAGTTAGACTCTGTTGGAACCTTAAAAAAAATAGACTAAAAACTCCATGTGTCGTCAGTTACACGTAATAAGAGATTCCCTGAGAAGTAACGCTGAGCGTTTTATTTTTTAAAGATATTGTAGAGAATGGTGTATTGTTCAGCATGATTCATTAGCATCAAATACAGAGTATTTTACTTTCTGAGAACAGTGACTTATGACACGCGAAACGTTGTAAGAGTACATGTAAAACTATGATTCCCGTGAAGATTGTAGCGATGTTAGGAGAGTACAATATTCAAAATAAAGAAGACAAAAAAAAACAACTCCACTAAATTAAAACGGTGCAAAATTGTTGAACTTGGATTTAAGCCTTCTTCAGTTCTTTTTATACTTTACCGTACGTATTCTTTCTATTGATTTATCATGGAATCAAGTAAATTATACATTTTCTTTCTTCTTCATCTTCTAACTAGATTGTATGAAAATACTTGCCTGACCTGTGCTTCTGTAAATATTTGGAGTTTCTTGCATCAAACTCGTAAGGATATTGCACTTGTATCTAAACTGTGCCACTAGATCAGCGTTTCTCAAGCTGGTATCCGCGAGTATTATAGAATAACAAGTATTTTTCGTAAAATTAAATGTAAATGAATTAGAATATTTAATTTTTGAATACAGCTTTTCATGTAAACAGAATATTTTCTTTAAAAAATACATGGATAGATTTAGGGGGCCGCGAAAACATTTTATATTAAAAGGAGTCCTCGGATATACAGTTTACTGCAAACGTTCGTAGAGAAAATTTGATGTTACGGGATGTTTATGTGTTAGTAATAAACATACAAAATATAAACATATCATTATAATGTATGAACGAAAGTTTTCAGTAACTACGAAGCAACGAAGTGAAAATATTAGATCTTAAAATTTAATCCAAATACGCACAATGACAAATGAATGATAAAAAAAAACCTATAAAGTCATAAGTGGTATTTAACTGCTTACTAACGTTCAAAAAGTGTTGAAGATGGCGTGTCTTCAGTTTTACACTCACGTCGGTGAGAATGAACAGATGAACAAAAATTGTAATTATTAGAGGGCCTGTTTAAGATGATTGAACAAATAATGTCCTAAACCTAACTACACATTCACTGTATGAGCAAGTTGATTGTTACAAGATGTATGTATACATGTATCCAAACTGTTTCAGTATAGACTGTATGAGCAAGTTGATTGTTACAAGATGTATGTATACATGTATCCAAACTGTTTCAGTATAGACTGTATGAGCAAGTTGAGTGTTACAAGATGTATGTATACATGTATCCAAACTGTTTCAGTATAGACTGTATGACCAAGTTGAGTGTTACAAGATGTATATATACATGTATCCAAACTGTTTCAGTATAGACTGTATGAGCAAGTTGATTGTTACAAGATGTATATATACATGTATCCAAATTATTTCCAACGAATCTTAGCGAACGTTTAGACGAGTGATTAAAACATGATACTCGTTTGCTAAATTCCAATTCAGTTCTAAAAAAATCGCCAAACCGGATTTCAACGGTACGGTCCGTTTTATTATCACCATTATTACTTGAAGTATCGTAATATTTTAAATTTAGAATGTGACTAGAGAATCGCCCTGTAAACTCTTAAAAACATCTAAATTGTTACTAGGTGCAAACTGTCTTTCTTTGAACTCTCACTAGGGTTAGATACCCATCAGTTTCCAATATGTCCAGCGGTTGAAATTAAAAAAAGTTTTATAAGTTTTCGAGTCATGGAGTTCCCCTACTCTATCATAAATTTCAGTTCACCCAATATTTTTATATTGAAATGTGTTTTTATTTTTGTATAAAAACTAATTGTATAGTTAAACAGAAGAGTTGTTGGAACATCCAATGAGAGTTATTTTTACTTAAAAAAAATAGTTATATTTTGTGCAAGCCTTCAATTAATAAGAACAACAAGAAAAAAATAAATTTTAAATATGCGCTTCTGGCAGCAAATATCCTAAAGTGTATGCAATAAAGCTACAAAAGCTATCTTAACTTAGGAACATGCGCATTTTTACTCTGTAGTCGTGCAGAAGGTAAGCATCCAGCGGTATCAGTTGTTCTCTGATTGGTAAGTGCTACTGACGTCAATTCTGGCATCAGTGAGTCTGGTTCTCGCTGATTGGATAGTCGTAGGAGCCGTCTTCTACTGCCTTGACATTCGGCCTCGTTCTCGTTTGGAAGGGGAGGGGAAATTAAGGGGTAGTGGATATGTGGAGTAGAGTATGAAGAGGTCCAAAAGTGTTAATTGTGGAGTTGGACAAACTTTACTTAATTTGGGAACAGGAAAGAAATCTCCCTGGAAAAGCCGAATAACGGAATAAAGGATCTTAGAATCTGTTCTGTCAGGATCTAAGTTTTATATGTCCAGCTAGCCCAAGGGAGAAGTGGCTCGTGCTGCTGCACATGTCGTGAGTCAGTACAGCGATCTTTGTTCTGATTGACAAGGTCTTGTAGCTTGAAGTTGTTCAGAATGCACTATCAGTTCTAGTCTTCGAGTCTGTGATTACTTACTTAATATTGATAATAACGAACACGAAAAAAAGATTGAACAATTGTTATGGGAGGAGCCTGTGATAAATGGTATAAAGTCATTTATATTTCGGAAGTCACAATGGCTCTCGTTTCACACCAGTAGTAACTTTACTGGACCCCAACACCGTACAATCAGGACACGTGGAATTTTCCCCCAACCAACAAGATTTGCTTACATCCCGCCATGTCAGTTCAAGAGCCAAACACCAGGTAAAGAAAAAGGTTTAGTCACTGAAATGTTTCAGTCTGTTTATTATTAATTGTGGTTATAGATTGTAAATGCAGCAAACAACAGTCATAATTAAGTCACTTAAGAAGTTAACCTGTTATAGTAGTGTAAACCGTGGCAGAACGTGGGTTAGGTTCCGCCATATTGGACCACGTGGTTCTTGTCGAGGTTGTTCATATTTAGACTAAAATACATACGAGAACACGACTTGCCCCTTGTGTCGAGGTTAATGTAGACCCATTTATTCCCAGTAGAATAGTTTAATTACTCGAGGTGGTGGTGTATAAAATTAGATTTTCAGGTATTTAATATTTAATATAACATGGTAAGGGTAGTGTAATTTGTATATAATACATGCGACTCTAACGAGGATTTCATTTAAAAGCAGTCGTGAAAAACAAGGTTTTGATCTTGGAAGTTGCATGTCATACATATAATATGTATATGCTAATTTTTAATTGTACATTTGAGACTTTTATTATTATCTGAGCGATTCTAAACTAGAAGACTTAAAAGCTTTAATGTATGAATTATTTTTGCGAAATCACTGGAATTTTTTGATCTGCATATATTGTTCATTTTCAAACTCTTGGTCCAAATTGTTATTAATTTGGATTAAAGTTTTATTTTGTATAATATGACTATATAAACACGTTTAGTGAGGAAAACAGCTAACCACTTTTTCACTATCATGAGAAATAATTTGGAAAAGGGAGAAATGGAAAATACTAGCAGCAGGATTATTGTTATTTAGTTTTTTTACTTTGAAACAGTGAAAATGTGGTGTTCAGAGACGCTTGTATTGACACTGTTACTTTCACAGACTATCTGACAAAAACGATTTAATTATAAACAGGTACAGACACAAAGCAATATTTAATATGCATGATACAGTTGTTCTAGACCCTCATTGAAGTAAATGTAAAAGTAGTGACATTGATTTAAACTGGTAGATGCTGTATAGGGGACGGTTAAGTTCAACGAATTGTAGTTGTTGTGATATTTGTTAATATAAAGAAAGAAGTGAGGTGAAAAAACAAAAACATAACCAGTGTAGTATATATTACTGTGAGGTGGATTTCAGTTAAAGGTACACAAACAAACTTTTATAATCATTATTACTAGTTGGTTAAAATCACAAAACAACTCGACAGGACGTTCACAAGTCAAGGAAAATTTAATTAACCAGAGACGTGGGTTTAAAATGATGATCCCTAGTAGTGAGCGAAAGGCCTCGTCGGCACTGTATATGACAGTTGTAGTGTGGTTCACATATTATAATACATTTTCCTTCGTTTTTCACTCGTGGATTCTTAGAATTTGCAAACCCATGAACACAGTTTCATCGGTAATAACTTAATGAAAAACGTCTTGCTTAAAGAAATGGAGAGCATGTTTGTGTGGGTGGGTGGAGGAGAAAATGTAATAAATCAGAAAAGTAATATTACTGTATGTCCATAATAAAAATTAAGAGATTCGTTTATAGGTTATTTATCTGTATAATATTTTCCTATTCAACGTTATAAGATTTTCTGCATTATACCTATTTTTATAGAGAACGCGCGATTTTACGAGTTTTTGAATCGAATGTTAAACAAATTTTCCAAGAAATTCAGAGCGCTCAATTCAAGATCGGTTAAGAAGTAGCGTTGCTGATTCTTGAGGCATGTTGCTAACAGTTCAGTTCGATAGTCAAATTGCTGCTCTGTCCCCAAGATTGGAAACAATGGCGCCGCCGTGACTGGAAGCGCTACTCACTAGTATCAAGTCCTTTTGTGTTTTAACTACGTTTCAGTGGCAGTTTTCAACTAAAAATGTGAAGGAATATGTATATACATGTACACAGTGAAACGTTTTTGACGCATGATATGCATTATTTATCGTAAAAAAAGATTAAATATCAAGTTTTGATATCCCCGGACATTTTTAATAGAGGAAATAAAGTTGAAAAATTACTGATGTATCAATGCGTTCTAATCGTTAAAAGTTTGTACTTCCTTCCGAACAACACTACAAAGTATCCAAACTAGGGATTAAGTTTGATCGTTTAGTTGAGGCCTTTCGTCTTCTATCAGTTTTTTTTTTTTTAAACCAGGGTTTATTGTTTTATGCAGAATCTGACAGAAGGTGTAAATATTTTAAGGCTTTGTTAGTTGATCGTTAAGGGAAGCACAACAACTGAATTCTAATACTTATACACGCATTTAGGTTGTATTTTTGTTCGATACTTCAATATGTGTAAATTGTTTTACGTCACATATAAAATTCGTTCGGTACATTTGAAAAATGCATTTACACGTACTAATGGCTCACAATCATAGTATATTGACTGTCATATATATATATATATATATATATATATAACTACTAGCTGGAGTACCCGTCCCGGTAGTTATGTAAATTTATGATTAATGAAAGGTTATCTTAGGACATGAAAAGTTATTTTTCTTTTATGTAAAAACCGCAAAATGGAAAACTGAAAATTTGTATGTATCTCCCTGTGGACCCAATGAACCTCCATACGAATTTTGGTGGAGATCCATCCACACCGTGTAAGTTAACAGTTAAATGTTCGTATTTAAACTGAGTATTTTAACGATTGTTGTTTTCCTACCTATGAACATCAGGATTTTGTAGCGAAGCCAATATAAATTGGCCGAACGTTTAATGAAATATTAGTTGAGCATATTATAAATGTCATACTAGTGATCATTGTTAATTGTTATGGTAATACGTTAACAGTCGACTCTCAGCACTGTTACGGAGTCATTTTCGTATAGATATTAAAAATATAATGGTGAATTGTCAACAATTGGTTCTTTTTAACACTGTTACGGAGTCATGTTAGTAGCGACGCTTAAGGATGTGGCTGTTTTGTCATACTGAGAATGTAAATTTGGTTCCTTACTAATTCTTTGACTGTTTGAGGACGCATGAGAATATGATACGTGGCTCATTGTTTAAGCTCTAAGTAGTTGTCGTTAAGTACGACAAAGTAAAGCTTGTTATTATGTTTTTGTGACAGTTACACAGCTTTGATAGTGACTTAAGAATTAACAACAAGTGGAAAGAAAGTAACTCCAATAATTATAACCTCACTGTTAAAAAGCTGCAACATGGAACGTTTTTGGTTTTTTACGTCGTCAAGATACATTTGGTCATCTTTCGGTAATACAATTTTTATAATATATAGACTCTGTTGTACTTTAAGAAATTGTTAGCACCTAACGCCCTATGACCTGTTTATGTAATTTGTAAGAAAATAAAAAATTCAAGTAAGGTTGTGGTGTTCATAAACAAACATCAAAGAACTGTGTCACACAATGGTTTTAATAGCCATATTTTAGTAAGAAACGACTTGTTCAATAGTCGGGTATTTTGGCACTTGATCTTTTAAATGCCACCAGAGGGCGATAATCTTAATGTTTTGTTTATCAAACCTGGAATATGCCATTCTGATAATCTTAAAATATGTTTACAAGAGATAAAGAAAATGTAATATTCAAACTTGATTTTAGTGAACCTATAAAAATTATCATTGTAACAAATTATTCGTTAACAATACTGTTTAGTTGTAAATATTATTATTTTAAGCCGTATTTTGTGCTTGTAGTATTGTGACAGTGAGAGAGAAAAATAAAAATTGATTTTTTTGAGTTCAGTATAAATACACTGTAATCAACTAACGCAGTCAGCCAATGCTTAAGTCAGTTGTTCTAAAACCTTCACATTCAGGTGAAAAACTAAGTACATAACAACAACCACTTTGAATACCAAAATGCTTGAACAAAGGCTTACATGTGTAGCTTTGTGAGTTGTAACTCAGGAACCGGGTTTCGATACCCGTGGTGAACAGAGCACAGATAGCCCATTGTGTAGCTTTGCGCTTAACTACAAACAAACCAAATACTGATTGGAGACGGCTTGAATGGGTAGTGAAGAAAAACTTTAATATAAGTTTAACATAACAGCAAATGTACAACATTTCGTCATCATCACCTTAACATAACAGCAAATGTACAACGTTTCGACAAGGTTTTGTTATCATCACCTGATGATGATGACAAAACTTTGTCGAAACGTTGTACATTTGCTGTTATGTTAAACTTATATCAAAGTTTTTTTCTTCATTACCCATTCAAGCCGTCTCCAACCATTATTAGTCTCAAAGTGGGTTCCTCGTCATCGAATTTGAAAACAAACCAAACTTGTTTACTTCTCCAATGTTCTTCTCTTTTGAGGCCTGATTTGTATCCCTCGCTCGCTACGTGCTTAAGGAAAACCAGTTCGAATAACGGAAACGTTTTCTTCATGCTTTAACTCGGATACTAGAACTGTAGCTTTTAAATTCAAGTATTAAAACATTTGTGCTCATTACCACGAATAACGACTTTATGATATAACATGGATTGAGATGAGCCTTGGAGTTATCTCGCAATCATGGTTAGGCCCAACCCTGACCTACTTTTCTAAGAAGTCATGATACCATACTCGCTCGCCTAGCGGTTATTCATTCTCCGCCTGACGTTATGAATGGATGTTGTAGGCGGTAGTCACAGAACCATTCAGAATTGATACTAAAGATCGGGAGTAGGCGGTCTCGACAAGTTACACTTTACCGACCTAATCTGGTTCCTACCAGAAAAGTCGTAGTTCATTCGGTTTGATAATATAAATAGCGTCTTAATCACTGTTATACTTGTTGGATCCCAGCCGGCCTGATGATCCCTGGTATTTGACGAAAGGCCTTGTCGGCACTGGATATGACGGATATAGTGTGTTTGACATGTTGTTATACATTCTTCTTTACTTTTACTCTCCAAGTTTTTGGAACATTCGTTAATCTTGCATCATTTGGACTTGTGTCGCATGACTTGCTAGTTATGTCGATTATAGAATTAAAACAAGGCTCATGGATGACTCTGCTTGTGTCAGGAAAACAATGCGATGTAGGCTCAAATATGGCCCTGGTTGTGCCCGA